AGCTCAGGTGTATGTGGCTGGTGCTTTAGCCACTTGAGCCACAGGCGCCAAGCCAAAACAGAAATTTCTTTAGAAGCTTTTCTTGATACTCAGTTTGAACTCATATTCCACCTGCTGTTAGATTTAATTACAGTCTTTATTTTCTTTCACTAACAGCTTCTTTTCAAAGGATCATATGTCCAAGCCTAAGAAAATTTCCCATCAAGTTCTGGGTCACTTGCTGTGATGACACATAAAGGCCACCCCAGCGACGCCAGAATGTGGCACATTTCAGGAGGGTATAGGAAAATTCGTTGAGCTAATAAAATCTCCACTTATGAAAGTAATGAAGGGGAAAATGCTGAAAGGAATAATTGCTTTGACGTTTGCTCAAGCAGAATTTAATTTGAAATCCACCCATTCTGCCAACTCAATTTAAAATCCACTCGGCCAATAATAGAAAAAATTTTAATCAAGATGATAGTTTCACCCTGAAAATAGAGACTCATAACAGGATTGACATCACAGCCTTAAAAATAATCCCAACAGCTTATGCCTGCTTTTTAATACCCCAATTTCAAGTTTCAAGCATTTGGGGTGGTTTTGTTTTTGTTCTTGTTTTTTGAGACGAGGTCTTACGCTGCTGCCTGTGCTCCAGTGCAGTGGCACCATCTAAGTTTCTGGTCGTTTGTTACACGGCAGTAGAAGATAACACAGCGATGTTAGACACTGACTGTGCTAGTTAATATTATGGGTGACAGGACCTGACTGTAGGCATATTAAAACTGCCTGAAAAAAGACAGTATTACAACCCAATGTAATACATGTATTGAAGGACGTGAGAAGAATTAGCCTCATCAGGAAAGAGGCTTGAGACAGTAAGGCTGATGTGATCACACCAAGCTAAAACAAAACAATTAAAAGCAACACTTCACAACAGAGGTGAGTGGGGGCATTTTATCAACTTGGATCCAAAAGGTGGAAAAGAGGGTGACAAGATGTAGCACCAGGTGGGATGTAGGGGATCGGCCTGTCATCCCAGCACTCTGGGAGGCCAACACAAGAGGACCACTTGAGGCCTCTTTTTCAAAAGCGAAGCTCCTCTCTGTCCTCCTGGCCTGGCTGTTTCACTTCATATAACATCCCCCAGGCTCCTCCAGGCTGTCACAAGTGACAGGGTCTCCTTCTCTTTAAGGCTGATGAGTTTGAGACCAGCCTGACCAAGAAGAGTGAGGCACTGCCTCTACTAAAAAGAGAAAAACTAGCCAGACGTGGTGGTGGGCACCCGTAGTCCCAGCTACTCGGAGGCTAAGGCAGGAGGATCACCTGAGCCCAGGAATTTGAGGTTGCTGTGAGCAATGATGACGCTACTGCACTCCAACCTGGGCAATAGAGCAAGACCTTGTCTCAAAAAAAAGTGTATTTTGTTTCTTGTAAAGCAAGGTTCAGCAAAATACAGCCTGTAGGCCAAAACCAGCACATAGCTTGTTTTTGTAAATGAGCCTATGCAGGGACACAGCTGCCAGCTCACTCACGTGCTGTCTGTGCTCGAGGCTGCAGCTAAGGCCACGTGGCCCGAAACAGACCCTTTACAGAAATGCCCTCTGACCCCTGCTCTAAAGCCTGGTGTTCTCATAGTTCCTGGCATGTAAGTTGCTTAAGAAATGTTAATGAATATTATCATTAAATTTATTTGTAAAGGTCTTTAACAAATAGCCTGAAAAACATTACTAAATGTTCTTATTTCTTCCCTGTGGTGTGAGTGTTAGAGTCCTTCTCCCACCTTCTAATATAGCAAGTTTAGATAAACAACTGATGAGGGTAGAAACAGAAATGAAGATTCTAGCCAGAATGTTGCCCAAGGACATACATAATTCATAGTCTATAAATACACATTACAATGTCAAGCAGATAATATGCAAAGCTACAAACATCCACTTTCTGTGGCAAAGCATGCCACTGTCCCCAATTACATATTGTTCCATGCTTTACTTTTTAACCCAGAGTTACCATTTTATGTGTGTGTGTATGTATTTTCCATTCTTCCTTTTAATGACAGGTGTCCTCGCTGCCATCTAAAGTTTAGGGGGGCCCGTGGCTTTCCAACTACAGACACATTCTCCAGGCTCCCTTGCAGCTACGTGCGGTCAGGCACCTGGTGTTCTTGCCGACAGAGTGTGAGCAAAAGCCTGAGACCCCCTGTTCAAACTGGAATTCGCTTGCCTGTTACTTTTCTTTCTGCACCTGCAGGGTATGATGACATCATGAAGGTCAGCCAGCTTCAACCACGAGGTTGAACATAGCATGACAGAAGGCAGCATAGCAACAAAAGGCAAGGCGCCGAGGCCCCTGGCTGAGCCTGTGCAGGAAAGGCTGACCACCCACTCCCATGAGGACAAACATAGCATAACAGAAAGACGCAAGGCGCCGAGGCCCCTGGCGACCACCCTGTGCACAGATAGAAATTTCTACCTTCTTCAGGCCGTGTACTTTAGAGCTGCTTTACTACAGCAGCTCACAGGTCATTCGCTCCAAGGTCACAAATTTACGTCATAAATGAGACTAGTGTAACTCCTGCCTTTATAATTTTTCTATTGTGTGGACATAAAAATACTCTGGGAAATGCTAGTGGTTTTTAATGTCCAGTGACTCATTTGGTCTTTTCAAGTTCACAAAAATAACATTATGCAAAGGACATCTTTGTACCCCAATAACCCAGAGGGACGGAGAGGGCTCGGCACATATCAATAACTCTCATCATAGAAAGAAGTAGAGAAACTTGAGTGTGTGGTGTACTTAGAAGGGGGCTGAACGGAGAAGCCGGCGAGCTGAGAGTTTGGGAAGACACTCCACAGGCCACTAGTGGGTGGTGACTCCCAGGTCCCGGAGCCCTGTGAAAGGCCTTACTTTTTGGCGGCCAGTGTGTTCAGCCGTGATGACTCAGATTCTGTTTCTCTGAACATCAGTCCTAGGGTCTGAATAATTTCAATGCATGCCCTAGAAAACAAAGAGGAAAAAAGCATGGGAATAGTATGATTTCATCAGAAGTTCAGAAGTCCACAAAAATAGTAATGCTTGCTAGAATTGCTCCCACATATCCAGACAGAAAAAAGTGCAAGACAAATTCTGTGCATCAAATGGCTGACCTTGGCTGAGGGCCTGTGAGTGCCATACAGCCAGCACTCAGAGATGTTTGTTGAATGAATGAATAGCTGAGAGTTGATTAAGAACATTTTTTTTTAAGAGAGGAAGGTCTCACTTTAGTGCCCAGGTTGGCGTACACAAGCAAGTCCCAGGCCCAATTATTACATACTACAGCCTCAAACTCCTGGCCTCAAGTGGCCTCCTGCCTCAACCTCTCAAGCAGGTAGTACCCACCACACCTGATTAAGCCATTTCTATATTCTTTTTTGTATGCATATTTCCCCAGAGTTTTTAGTGTAGTCATGTACCACTTTATGTTAAAATTATCTTTGAAAATTATGTTTTTTCATAATTTTAAAATAGGAAACATTTGGCTCTAAGTGTCAAAGATATTAAAGAAAATACAATGAAAATTGTCTCTCCTCCAGACACCCACTTTTTTCCCCTTCAGGGGAAACTAATCTTACTAGTTTCTTGTGTATCTTTCCTTTAAAATTAAAACAAAATGAAGGCTGTTTTTAAAACCTAACGTGAAGCACAACGTACAGTGCCATTAATCATTCCTTTGTCAGGCAGTTTATTTTTCTTTAATTATTTTTATTTTTATTTTTGCAGGCATTTTCTCAGTGCTCTCCATTTATCTTTAATGCCCAAGGGAAAAAAACACCTGTCATTGTCTAGCTAGTACTTACACCAGCTCATCGGCCCGCTGTCCTTGACTTTGAAGTGCGTTCCTATCCCTAGATTCCGGCAAGTACTCGTGCAGTTTGTTCACTAGGAAACTGAAAAGGTCACTGGTCTGTGAGAGCAAGGCGGAAAGAAGATGGCAATTAGGGTATCAGCTGTTTAGTTTGTTTGTCTGCGCGGCTCACTCCGTCCCCAGGCTGGAGTGCAGTAGTGCACTCAGACCTCACCTTAATGATCTCCTGGGCCCCAGGGATCCTTCCACCTCAGCCTCCCGATAGCTGGGTCTACAGGCACCTGCCACCACACTAGCTAAATTTTAATTTTTCCATGTAGCCACAGGGTCTCACTCTGTTGCCAGGCTGGTCTTGAATCCCTGGCCGCAAGCCATCTCCCACCTTGGCCTTCCCAAAGTGCTGGGATTACAGGTATGACCCACCACACTGGCCCCGAGACACTAGTTCTTACTTATTTTTCTTAGCCCCATGGACTGTAAAACATTATTTTCTGCAGTCACTCTGACCTCTGATTACAGTGCAAAACCATCCTGACTGGCTGGCAATTGTCCTAGCTTTCCCATGTCCAGGAAATGTCCTCTGTCCTGGGCAAACTGGAACAGGTGGTCACCGAAGTCTGGGCAAGCCAAGATGGTTGGTCATCCCACAGAAGCACCTAAGACGCGGCCAGGGCTGTCTCACATGGGGAGACGGGGGGAGTGACAGGCTTCACAACTGCTTGATAAAACTCTGGCAGCTCTGTGGGAGACACTGGCCAGACACAACATCCAGCCATCAACGAGGGCTCGGCCCCCGGCAGGTGGGCCCCATCTCCTGCACTCAGGAGCACCACACCATCACTGACCTGCACTTCTCAGCACCTCCACCTCACTCTGAAAGTGAATTATGTATGGCTGACTGCATGGAAACAGGCTGCTTGGACACCCCAAAGAGTCACAGTTTTAAAAACACCAGTCCTACACTCAAGAGTAATTCTTAACAATTACATTTTTCCTGTAGGAGGAACCGCACAGTAAGACTCCTGACATCTATTCTCATCTCACCATGTCTTAGGCCCCAAACCCACCCTCTGACCCTCTCCTTTTCACGCTGCCAGCTGACCCCACGGACTATTTGCTGCTGCTCCTCTCTCGTCCCCGGTCCCCTCAACACACGTCTATACCATGGATTACATCACACGTTTATTTTCCCTCACTGTTGCCCAGGCTAGAGTGCAGTGGCATCATTGCTACTGAAACCTCAATCTCGTGGGCTCAAGCGATCCTCCTGCCTCAGCCTCCCAAGTCGCTGAGACTACAGTCGCCACCATGCCTGGCTAGTTTTTCTATTTTTAGTAAAGATGGGGTCTTGCTCTTACTCGGGCTGGTCTCGAACTCCTGAGCTCAAGGGATCCTTCTCCCTCAGCCTCCGAGTGTGAGTTTCACAGGCATGAGCCACCACGCCTCGCCTACATCACTAATTTTAATGACTGCGTTAAATGCAATCAACATTTTAAAATACAGCGTAAGAATACAAGATGTTTGTTAATATTTTAATTTACGCTTAAATTCGGTCAAAAGGTAAAGCGAGCTTTAAAGATGAACAACCAAACAAAGCGCTTACTTTCCAGAAAAGCCTTTTCAGAATGAAGTTTTTCTGGGCTGCTACTTTAAGTTCTGTGATTAAATGAAGCATCTTCTTTAAAGTATTGTCTTTAAGAAAAAGTTCAGATTTAAGTTGACTGAAGTGCTTAATTTTCTCCTCGGACCTACAGGAACACAAGAAAATTTTCCATGTAAAAAAATGATAAGAAACAGCAGTTATGAAAAGCAATGATTATGGACAAGTTTGTAAATACTTTACAACTGGAAGTTTAATGTAGTTCTGCACTTCTGTAGCCCAGTACTTACTGGAGCAAACTCCAGTCCCCCCAGATTGAACTACTTACTACTCTCCAAACATGTTCACTCACATCCCTTTTCCAAAGCCGTGGATACTCTCGCTGTCCCTCCTTGATGGCTTAGCTTGTCCCATTTACCATGAACCATATGTAATATTATTTTCTTAATATTTTTCCTTTCAAACAGCTCACTTTTTTTTTTTTTTGCTTTAAGTTCATTTATAAAGAAAACTTTGTATCACTACATTACGGAGAAAAACAGTATCACTTGGCATAAGTACATAGTGTGTAGCCATAAAAATAGGGTGAAAGCAAGGAAGTTTAAGTGGTACTGGATTCTGAGCCCGAGGCTGGGTCTCTGGGAGGAAAAACGGAGGAGCCCCAGTGGGGGCCCAGGTGGAGAGGTTCTCCCCAGTGAGATCCAGGGAGCTGCAGGAAGGAGTCACACTTTTCCACAGGGAATCCAAAGTTCCTTCCTGCGGTCAGAGTACCGCCTGAAATCTTCTCCCACCACTGGTCCAGGAGCTGTCCACACTTCAGGAGAAGCTGCCTTCGCAGAGAAGAGCATGTCCATAGGTCTTTCCCTGGTTTCACTGTTGAATGCAGCCCTCCCCATTCCACTGCAGTTCTGTTCACACTCCTAGTATCACTCGGATCCTATTCTGTTCCACTGCAATTATTTGTGTAAGCCTCCTGCCTCCTCAGCTGAATTTTAGCAACTTGAAAAAAAAACATACTGGGTTAGATGTTGTCTCCATCTCCATCTCCTGCTGCGCCCAGGTCTGAGGACATGTAGCAGGCTCGGGCCAGGATGCCTTCCACACACTGGCCCAGTCGCTCAGCTGGCCCCCACTTCAGGGTCTGACCTTAGAATTACTGTGGTACTTTGTAGGAAGCGGGAGGGGATAAGTGACCTGCCCAAGCTCACACAACTGACAATTCAGAAAGGCAGGGTGCAGAGTGACAGCAGGAAGGCAGTTTCATGTTCTGTGTTGGTTGAGGGAAGCTGGGAATTTCTGACTTAAAGAAAATACATCATGGACCACTGACTCCAGGAATCTGTGAACCCAGAAACTCACCCCCACACTGCAGCATCGAAGTGATTGCTCTTGCCTGCTGCCTCCTCGTTACCTAAACAACTTCCAATATACCCTCCTCAACCCAGTGAGCCTCTCTGCTTAACCCCAGAATTAAGACCTCCAAAAAAATGGTCTCTTTCCTAGTTGAGACACTAGAGGGGAAATGGTCATTTCCAATTCAGCAGCAGCAATCCCAGAGGCGGCGGGACAGAATGGTTGTGAGCGTGGGGGCTAAGGCAGAGACCTGGACGTGCCTCCATCACTCGGCTACGTAATCACTGCCGGCAAGTTACACAGTTTCTGGCCTCAGTTTCCTTAACTGTAAAATGGGGGTGATGACGGTCCCCATCCCATTATGCTGTTTTGGTAGTACATGTCCTCAGCACACAGTAAGTGCTTAATAAATGCTTTCTAAATAAAACAGGAATACATCAGAGACCCAGTTTCCCTATCATATTTCATTTAAAACTAACTATAAAATCCCTCTACACACTGAGAACCCCCAAAACAATAAAAATGTAGTTTTCACAAACAAACGAGCTTAGGAGAACAAAAGCTCAGATAAAACACAGTATCAGCAGAATTATTCTGAATGATTCTCCTGTTTTTTCCATTTGGAGTCAGCAATTTGCTACGATCCACAATAGAAAGAAACCGTTTCTAATCCTGTGTCGCCTGTGATGATAGATTGCAACGCCAAATTCATTTTTTTCTAAAGCAAAAATATCTTTCATACGGAAAGGCACACTAATAATGTCTTGTACTAAAAACCAATTCACATAAAGATTGAGATCTCACATACATCATAAATTCAGGTCAGATTAGGTGTTCTATATTACCACAGATAAGTTATCAATCATAATATCCATGGACATTTAGAGAATATTTGCTTCTACATAGAGGACAAACTTCATTTGACTAACCTAAATAAGAAAATGTCTAGTGTCAGACCCCACCACTAACTTAAGAATAAGTGGGGAATCCATCATAATGCTAACAGATACTTGGTACTTGCTAGAGAACACAAATATCTCAAAATGTTTTAAGAAGGATTTTTGATGTAATGATAAGCTCTATTTTCCTATGTATTTTCATTGTTCTAGACATTTAGCATAAACAATATCTCACATTTGTACAAGGCCTTACCACTAGGAGAAGCTTTCCCCACATGATTTCAGAAGCACTGAGTTGTGCTCACAAAGGTCGGACTCCAGAACTGGCACATCTATGACAGAATTATAATTTGAAAACCCAGAGGACATGTGTCCTTTTAAAGTGCAGATGCCATGCAGGTAAAGACTCTCTCTCCTCTATCTCTGCATCCTTCACAGTGCGTTTGCTCTCCCCCCCCCCACGTTAAATATGTTGCCGTCAATAATTAATTTTATAAGAAATATGCTTCTCTTGAGTCAAGACTCAAGAGGCAGAACACCTCTTTTTCCTTCAGAAATATATTTCAAGGGTGGTGCCTGTGGCTCAGTGAATAGGGTGCTGGCCCTATTTACCCAGGGTGGCAGGTTTGAACCTGGCGCCAGACAAACTGCAACAAAAAATGACTGGGCACTGTGGTGGGCGCCTGTAGTCCCAGCTACTTGGGAGGCTGAGGCAAGAGAATCGCCTAAGCCCAAGAGCTGGAGGTTGCTGTGAGCTGTGACACCACAGCACT